TTCAGTGTTGTAATCAAATAAAGCCTTCTACATAGTTAATCTAATCTGTATTTAAGGTTATGTTCAACTATTATTGCTCTGAATGGAATTAGGCATTTATGTTAAGCAGTGGGTTGTAATTCATATGTATATGTTTAAAAATTCATCAAGCAAAGTTTTTCTGAGACCAACTTCAGGCACTCAAAAAAATATCATTTCCCTTTTTCCCTCTCAAGTGCAGAGATGGTCCATTTTTGCTTTCCACTTAGAAATGGTGAGTAAGGAGGCAGAAGGTATTATAATGAAAGTCCAGGTCTAGTGACTGGCACACAAGTTGTGTCCTGCTATTTTTTTATGGTGTTAGCACTGATCTTACCATCTGGTCCCACTTGAGCATTTTTCCAAATGTCTAAGGAATAGCTGCTTTAGTTATTTACTCTGTGCTTTATGTGTATTTATGCCTTTATTTCTTATGGCAACAACACCTTGAAAGAATGATTACTCTCTATGTTATAGAGAATAGCAGAATCAGGTGATATCTCAAGGTCACGTAGCTTGGAGCCAAGGTTCGGCAGATTCCAGAGCCTGTACACCTCATCCCTGTGCTGTGGAATAAGAGGTAATCTGTGTTACTTTCCCTCAGGTCTTTTATCTCCCCCAGATCCTCTCCAGCCAGAGTGTCAAGCTTCTGGAAGCTCAGTGCTCTGTGGCTGCTCAGCCCTGCTTGGAGAGGGGAGCTGCTGATGACATGCAGATGCCTGGGAAGCTGTTTGGAAAATGCCCAGTGCAGACATTGTAGACACAGGAATATGTCCTGGAGGAGGGTCCAGGTGAGAATGGGTCTGGCTGACTGAAGGAATCTGGTGCTGGAATTAGGAACTGTGGGCTTGAAGGGAACTTAGTCGTTTTAAAGCTTTTGATCACAAGGGACTGCAATTTTCCTGAGTCTATTTTAAGCTATTTTGGCTGGTTAGATTATTTTTAAGGAAAAAATTCCATTTTCTGATTTTGTTAATCAAAGATGTGATATATGACTACCAAGTAGAGCTTCCAATAAGCAAGAGGTAACCTGTTTTTCCATACACAGTGGCTATTACTTCAGCCCAGCATGTAGCAGTGCTTTTTTTGAGCCTGTACAGACTTATGGGAGGTAGGGGTGACAAATGTACAGTTCTTACTAGGCTTTTTCATATTTTGGAACTTATTCAAAAACAATCCTCGCCCTCACCATGAGTGCCTTCAAGAGCCCACGTGAATGGCCCCAGTTGGAAACCATTGATCTAGACCTAGATCCTTACTTTATTATTGAGGAAACTGAGGGCATGTAAAATTTCCAAAGTCATCAAGTGAGTTAGTGCTCAAAAAGAGTATCGAATGGGACTTCCCTGGTGGCACAGTGGTTAAGAATCCGCCTGCCAATGTAGGGGACATGGGTTCGATCTCTGGTCTGGGAAGATCCCACATGCCGCAGAGCAAAAAAGCTTGTGCGCCACAACTACAGAGCCTGCGCTCTAGAGCCCGCATGCCATAACTACTGAAGCCCGTGCACCTAGAGCCCGTGCTCTGCAAGAGAAGCCACCGCAATGAGAAGCCTGTGAGCCGCAAAGAAGAGTAGCCCCTGCTCGCCGCAACTAGAGAAAGCCTGCGTGCAGCAATGAAGACCCAAGGCAGACAAAAATAAATAAATAAATAATTTTTTAAAAACCTAACTTCTTTAAATAAATAAATAAAAATTTAAAAAATCTAGCTTCTTTAAAAAAAAAAAGATATGAATAATGGGACACATATCACCTGGGACCCACCAAACACTCAGAGACACAGAGTTGACAGGTTCATTCTGTAGGCGGTTCTGTAGCTTATGCAAGTTCAAAGATCTTCCTGCCATTTTAAATTCTGGGTATATGTTCTTATGCTCCAGTTCCTATTTCCTTGTAGTGCTATGTCTGATTTTCCCTAATTCACCCTAGGCCTAGAGCTGGTTCCCATATTCCACAATTAGATCCACTCACACAAGTGTTTTGAGGGGAAACATGCCATCGAATGGGCAGCTTCTGCCATCTGGCCAGTCCTCCTCTTTCTTCTTTCTTTTTGTCTCTGATCTCATTCCCTTCCTTCCAGATTGTGCCTCACTCCCAGGATGGAAGAACTCATTTGCTTTCTCTCTGTTTGATTCTGCCAGTGGTCAGATAGGGTAACCATGCTGTCATCATAGATTAGGGGGGCTCCTCTTACTGGTCCCACCCTCCTCACATCAGCAGCTAGGACCACAGGCAGAGATTCTCTTTCTCCACTGACAACCAAACTCTGCTTGAGGGGACCGATGGACAAGGGAGGAGGTGGTTGCTCTTCTTAGAGAATAAAGATTTGAAAAAAAATCTCCATCCAAACCTCATCTGTACACTTCCTATCCAAAACACATGTACACCTTCATACCTGACACTCCATTTGACTCTTATGTGACACCTGGTGTATCAGTCAGCTCAGGCTGCCATAACAAAATACCAGAGGCTGAGAGTCTTAAATAAGAGAAATTAATTTTTTCACAGTTCTGGAGGCTGGAATTCCAAGATTAAGGTGCTGGCAAGGTAGGTTTCATTCTGAAACCTGTTCTTTTGGCAGGTGGGTACAGACATCTTACTGTGTTCTCATGCAATCTCCCTTTTTGTGCTTGGGAGGATGGGGGGAGGGGCAGGTGGGGGGAAAGAGAGCGAGAGCACACATGTGTGAGCTCTCTATGTCTCTCCTTATAAGGGCACTAATCCCATCATGAGTACCCCACCCTTATGACCTCATCTAATCCTAAGTGCCTCCCAAAGGACCCATCTCCAAATACCATCACACTGGGGGTTAGGGCTTTAACATATGGATTTTGAGGAGACACATTCAGTCCATAACACTGGAAAAAGGGAAAGAAGTTTTGCCTGTTTTCCAGATGAGACACTGAGGCTCGGAGAAGTAACTATATTAGACTGAGCCTATAAGAGAGAACTGAAGGAGGGCAGTGTCCATGATGCTGACCCATCCATGCACTCTGATGCCTACCCAAATCTTCCCCTTCCCCTCACCAATCAAGGAGTCTGATGTGCTAACCAGCTCAAAGCTATTTCTTCTAAATTCTTAGAAGGGTGTAGTAGTTTTCAAACATGTCCACAGATTCTTTGATACTCTTCTCTTCAAAAGGTGGAATCTAATTCCTCTCCCCTGGAATATGGGCTATCCTTACCAATGTGCTTCTAACAAATGGAATGTGGCAGAAGTGATGGTATGAGATTTCTGAGATTAAGTCTAAAAGATACCATGACTTCCCCCTTGCCCTGTCTCTTGGATCATTGGCTCAGGAAGACAGCTGCTGTGTCGTGAAGATACTCAAGAAGCCGTGCAGAGAAGCTCATGTGGTAAGGAGCCAAGGCTACCTGCCAATGGCCAGTGAGGGACTGAGGTTTCCTGCCAACAGCCCTGTGAACATGCCATCATGGATGTGAATTGTCCAGTCCCAGTCGAGACTTCAAGTGATTGCCGCCCTGGCTGTCATTTTGACTACAGCCTCATTAGAGACCCTTGTTGCTCCAAGATTCCTGACCTAAAGAAGCTGTGAGATAATAAACGTTTATGGTTTTAAGCTGCTAAGTTTGCAGGGCAACAATAGATAATTGGTACAAAGAGAAAAGTGTTTTATGCTGCTATTCTCACTTGTCCATTCTCCACATCACCCACATGGCCGAGCCCTATCAACATTTCTGAGCATCAGTTCCCTCTTACAGAAAATACCAATAAAATACCATATAGTATAACTGATACATGCCTAGTACTGACTCGCTCAAAATAAGTGCTCAAGAAATTGTAGTTTTTGTCAGCATCTTGTCAGCTATGCAGCTTCTCCATGTGAGTTTCTGTCTATTGGTTTCAGATGCCCACTTCCCTCACGTGAGGTGCCAACCTCAAACCAAAGACAATGTGCATTGCCTGCCAGAGACCTCTAACCGCCTAATCCTTCCCGGGTGAGGGACTCATGGCTTCTTCTCCATTTCAGTACAGAGAGCTTTCCTCCCTCTCTCACTGTCTTCTCCTAGCCTCCATTCTTAACCCTAATCTTTCATCTCAGAATTTCAGCTTTGATGCTTCCCACTTCCTTCCTATGGTTGCTTTAACCGAAGTGAGTCAGGTCTTACTGAAAAACTGACCACAGCCACTCGGCTCCCACCCTCCCCCAGATCAGAGCTGCCTGGGCAGAGTGTGAGGGGGATCAGTGTTTACTCAGCCCATTCTTTCCCCTCTCCACCTCAAGTCATAGGGCTTTGAGTAGGGCTTCCCCAGCCACCATGCCCCCCCTAACAGACCGCAGTCAGCAGCATATCTCACATTTGTCTGGTGGCTCAAGGAGAGAACAGAAATGCAGCAGCTTTAATCCTTGGGTAGCCTATCAAGTGGGCTCATTTGCTTATATCCTACTCTATTAGGTCCAACCTGTTGCCTCTGCTCAGCTCCAGGAGGATTTGGTAGATTTTAGGTGTGAATTCTAATAACAGTCAACTGTGTGCACTAGGACCATCTCCTAGCATCCGGAGACATGCAGCACTTTATCGTAATCCTCACAATAACACGGGCAAATTAATATTCACCCCTGGAACTTTGGAACTTGAAGGAGCAAACAACGATAACAAAAAAGAAGACAAACAAAAAACCACCAAAACCTAAAACACACTGAAAAACTTCCTCTGCCTTGCTTTTTAATTTTGGTATATGTACAGAATCTCATCCTTAGCCTTGAAAATCAGCATGATCATGAAGGATGATTCTTTAAAGGACTAAGTTTAGGGGAAGAATATGGTGGTCTTTGCTATTGGCTTTTGAAGGGGTAACAGCTTTTCCCTGATCAGATTTGGAGGTTTCCGGTTTTCTGGGAGAGGGTAGCTGGCTTTCTTTCTCTGGAATGTAGAATTCATTCATCTACTCTCTTCTACCTTGGAAACTTTGAGAGAATATTTTTAGCCAGACAGAAGTCAACTGACACCATAACATGATTTTAATAAGACCCATTTATTTATTCAAAATTAAAATCTGCTATGAAGACAGACAAACAATGTAACATTCCCAGAGGAATTGAATTGCTTCTAGTACAGACTGAGTTCTATTAGAACCAATTTTAGGTTGTTATAAATAACAAGCTGGCCACAGCTTTCAAGAGTGAAGTGGCTGGGGAATGAGGTCAGGGGAATCCCTCAGAGCCACTGGAATATTAATTGTCAAAGGCGCTCCCTAGTTTCTCTTCTTACGAGCATAAGAGTCTTTGTAACACTCCGGGAACCCCAGGCCCAGGGACAAGGGAAATTAGAGGGAGGTCAGGGAAAATAGCCCAACAGCTGTCAAGTGTGGTTAGGCTTGGAAATGAAGCTGCAGTTGACTCCCCAAGGAACAATTTTTTTTCCTTATATAACTTACAATTTCTCTTAAAACACTCGAATACCATAGGGTATCACCCTATGGAAACAGCTTAAACACAGGTGAAAATAATAAATATTGAAAAAATGTATAATATTGGGCTTCTTTCTAAATACTTCACAGAGAAGCTCAGTAAATAAATAGAAATGGGAGTTGAGGTATCAGAGGTAATAAATATTCTAGGTGAGAGGTACAATAGGGTTTTCCAGGGGGCTGGTTCTGCTCTCCCAGAACCCTGGATCAGATTTCAAAGATCTTCAGTTTATGTCCTAGAGTCTAGTAGAGTCACCATCCTGGATGGTTTCTTCACTAGAATACTTCAGTTTTTCATCTTTGTTGTCATGTAGGCTTCTATGTAGTTGATGAAGATGTCAAACTCACTCATGGCTTTGTAGACACCCTTGTCTTGGAGCTGTGTAGGGAGATAAGAAATGTTTCGTGAAAACCCCATCTGAGCAAGTAAGTGGGTCCTCCGCTTGGATGGTCATGACCCTGGGACCCAGAAACTGTACTAGCTCCCTTGTGTTGGGGGATGAAGGACAGACCCTGGGGACCTGAGGATATGCCCTGCTGTCAGGAAAGGCTGTGCATTGGCCTGGACCACGGCCAATAGGCAGCAAGAAGAACATTCACTTTTGCAAAGCACAGTCTTTCAAATGGTGCCTTTTCAACAATTTTAAAGGTCATGTGCTCACATGATGCTTATTCAAAATTTGATGAAAAGACATTAGGGGAACCACTTTGAAAGCAAGACATTAAGAGAAGGAGAGAAGGGAGCCTTTTTTGTGTTCATGTTCCCCCACCCATGGATTGAGAAGGTCCAGCCCTGTTGCTCTGGCCTACTGTCGGGGGATTCATGCCCCCTGATGTTGGAACCCTGCCCAGTGTCTGTCTTCAGCCCATGAAGAGAACGTAGGCCCCATGGCTTCTGGGAAATATGGTGGAAGAATTCATGGACAGTTGGAAGAGTGAAACCCCACTTGGTTTGAGAGCTGACTTTCTCAGGCACCTTGGGAGGTGTGACTGGCAGATGGAAAAAGAGGGGGACCAAGTCCACATAAGGGAGAGCTCTGCTTCCTGCTCTGAGTTTGGGGGAGTTCAGGCTGCACCCCTGGGTGTGTTTGTTAAGTGCACGTTCACGTGTCAGCTTCCTGCACGTGTGGCTTCAGACTTGATTCCCAACAAGCTACTTTCTGTTTCCTCTGTCACTCTCCCCAGCACCCAGCTCACTGTGTTCACAGCTGGCTGGCCAGCCCAACCCGCAGGCCTGCAAAGGCAGGGAGCAGTCATTTAGAAACCCCCCAAAACACTTCACAGAAAACAAACAGAACTGAGATGGCAGCTCCTCACTGGCTGAGGAGGTCACACCATTTGTCGGGTTCCCATACTCCCTCCGAGCGAAGTTCAGGGCCTGCTGAGCACCGGCCAACCTCTGCCCCTCGGGAGTGGGCAGAGGTCATGGCTCCCAGACCCTCCCTGCCAGCATCCCAGGCTTACCTTATTGAAGACACTCTTCACCTGCTCCACCGCTTTGCTCTTGTTTTCACAGGGCAGAAATCGATGCTGTGGAAGGAAAGAGAAAGTGTGAACAACACTGGCGCCCGGGTCCTGGGTCCATTGTGCTTGGGGGACAACCCGGGAGCAGCAAGAAGCCAGACTCATCTTGGACACCTACTCTCCACAGCTCCTGTGAGGACGAGCCTACCTCGTCCTTCCCCACCAGACAGAGAAGAAACACAGCCCAGGGAGATTACTTGTTTCCCTAGGAGCTGCTCCCAGCTGCTTACAAGGCTGCGTCAAACACCCAGGTCTTGGAGTTTCCTCCCCTGGCACGTCCCAGTGCCGACCAGAGCCTGAGCCAGTCCTTCTGTCCTTTCCTGCTTTTGTCCTGTCCCTCTGCTTCAGTCCCAGCCACGAGGACCATTTCTAAGTCTCCGAGGAGCAGAGACACAGTCTCAGCCCTGCCGGCCAAACCCGTTGCATGGTCCTTTTCTACATATACAGCCCAAATGATTTCTCAACATCAGTGAGGGAACAAAGGAAGCCAGTGGTGGGGTATCGTTTCAGTTGGAGAAATAAATGATCCTGGGGGATTATTCACAGACACTAGCTTGGGGCCGAGTAGCCCCCTGGTCCCTCTAAAATGCCAGGGAGAATCCTGTCAGTCAGTTGGGCTCCACTTGAAGCTCTGCTCTCAAAAGGTTAAGAAGAAGTGGGGAGTGGAGTTTCCTCCCCCGGGACCCTTACCTCTGGCCCCTCCCGTGGGGCCCAGGTCCTAGGTCCCCAGGGATGAGGGAGCCCTGACTGAAGCTCTGGGCCCCTTTCATGTAGAGAGAGGGGAATAGCTAACTAATAACCCACAAATGACTCACAAATAACAGGAAAGCTATTGCAAACCTTCACATGTAAATGCCTAGCGGCCACCCCACCCCCTGCTCAGAGAGAAATGAGCAAGTGATGCGACTTCAGTGCCCGGCCGGAGGGAGAAGGCGCCTGCCAGTCTGTGTCTTTGTGTCTCCGGGTGGGAACCGGGTTTGGGCAGGATGTTTCCGGAAGAGCCCAGAGGAGAGAGAGCCGCCTGCAAGGGACAGAGCTGGCCTGCTACTCACACAGCGCCTCAGCCGCAGCCTGAGGGTCTTCAGCTTCTCCCCCAGGGAGTTCACGTGCTCTTTGATGTTGGGGCCATGGTCCTCAGCCTGCGGCATCACCTCCTCCAGGTAAAACTGGATCATCTCCGACAAGGCTTGGCAACCCAGGTAACCCTAAGGGCGGAAGCCAGGGTGGGTGGTGACCCGGGAGGAAGAGCTACTGCTTGAGAGGACAGCTTTGTCCCCGGGGACCTTCTTAAGTGGCCACCTCCCCCCAGCACCGAGCCCTTAGTGACAGACCCCCTCCAGCTACTGACTATGTGCTGAGTTAAGATCTTCCCACTTCTCCTTTTCAAAGTGAGGGAAGTGGACCCAGCTCCTTGCAGGCGAGAAGCAGAGACACCCTTAGTCACACTGCACACCGCACCCCCGTCCCCGCCCAGCCCTCACCTTAAAGTCCTCCAGCAGAGACTGGCTCAACAACGAGTTGTCCAGATGGTCATTCATTTGCTGCAAGAAGAACACAAGGAGAATGAACCCAAGGTTTGGAGAAATAACTGAAAATGACTGCTTTTCTCATGCCCTTTTATTTATAGTTTTTGATTTTTAATCAGTGCAGACCTGGCCCCAAAATGGTAAAGAGAGCTTTCAAAACAAGACATTCAACGGTGCTGGAACTCTTAGTTAAATCAAGTCCTTCCCCTTGGGATCAAGTTCTTTAAAAAAATCTGGCTCATTTTGAAGGCAAGGCAGAAGCTTGCCTGGGTCCTGGACTTTCTGCAAAACTGTGTCACATGTGCAAGGGTCCCTACCCCTTGGCTCCCTTTGCTTTTCTGTCTACCCGCTGCCGACATCCAGCTGCAGCACTGAAAGTTCTCTGCGAGTGGGAAGCATCTCCTAATGCAGGTTTCCCCCTGTATGGTGCTACCCCAAACCATCAGTCTTTCAGGTTCTGGAAGCCCTCTAAGCTGAGGCAACTTATGTTTCCCTGCCATAGGGTATGGGGAACATCTTCACCTCCAATCAGACCCTTCGTGATCTCTCCCAGCCTATGAAGTATTGAGCTCCAGAGAATTCTTATACAAATTTCCGAGCATAGGAGAGATACCTTTTTGAAGGGAGCTTTTCCTGCACAATTTGCTGCAGCACCAGGGATTAGATTGACTCACTGAACCCACAGCTTGACCGGGGACTCTTAAGAATTTCAGTTTGGCGGGGAATGGGTGTTGGGGGTGGAGGTGAATGAAAAGGAGGTTTTATAAGCTCCAACAGAATGCCTCATCAGGCAGTCCCAGGGAGGAAGGAAGGACAGGAGAGCATCATACTCACAAAGAAAGTCTTCACGCTGCTGAAGGCGGCTCGGAGCTCCCGCAACATGTGGGGCAGGCTGTCTGGGAAGTGGATGCAGCTGTCCTTAGCCTGGGTGCCCTGGTGTTGGCTGGCTGCCACCCCGGCCAGGAAGATCAGGCAACAGAGCAGTGCTGAGCTGGGCATGGTGGAGTTTTGCCTTCTTCGTTCAGTCAGACTTGTGGTTTGGTTTTGCAAGAGCAAGCCCCTGTCGTGTAGACCTTCACCTACTGTGTCCCCCTTTTATATTGTGGGGCCTCGCCATTCATAAAAAGCCACAGTGTCACAGATTTCCTGGCAAAAGTTTCTTCTGATTAAAGCTCCTCCCTTCCCTAGACCTCTCCAACTTGGTATTCGTTGAAACTCTTACTCAAAGTTTTTAATTTTGCATCGTAAGCAAAAGAGATGGTTGAAAAATGAACTTCTGCATATGGCTATTTTTAGGAGGAGCTACCTCTCTCTCCCTTTTAAAATAATTTTTCAGCTTCTCTTAATAAAAAAAAAGAAAAGTTGATTTCCTGGGGTGAACAGCTGTTCTGTGCGCAGGGACCCACAGTTGTGGGTTCCATTCACGTGTTCCTAGGTCACAGTGACGTGGACAAATTGGCCATTCCAGAATACACTGGGATTGAGAAATAACTGGGTCCCCTTCCCCAACCTGGGTTGATACTCAAGGCTTCTCCTTACTGGATTGGGAAGTCACCTCAGCTCTCCAGGCCTCAGCTTCCCCAAATGAAAACAGGAGTGTGAGGTAAATATCCTCAAAGCTGTCTTCTGGTTCTTTCATTTTATGTTCCAAGACTACTCCTTAAAGAGGCCAGCTTCCCACAGGACAGGCAAGGGTGTCGGACGTGCTCCAGGTTCCTTCTCTGGCCCTGGATTCATTTAGACTCTCAGATCCATGTCTCCAACCTCCTTGGCTAGCCACGTCCTCAGGGGGAATTAGTAAGAGTAGTCCACGCTTACTGGAAGCTGTACCTTCCAGTCACCATGACCCTCATCTCCATTTTACAGTGAGCAAACCGAGGCACACAGATATTAGATACCCTGCACATGGGTGCTGAGTGAGGGAGCCAGAATTTGCACCCAGGCCTGCCTGATGCTCAGGCTGTGCACCTTTCCCTATTCTACACTGGCCCCAGTGTGCAGAACGGAAAAGTTGGATTAAAGAGTCACTAGGTTTCTTCTGGGTTGTGAGCTTCAGTGACTGGAGACTTAACATTTGAAAGATGAGGAGGAAGAAGTAAAAATAACAAAGAAAATAAGTTGGGATTCCATGAAGGCTGGACAGGAGGCCCTTTTCTCCCCTCTTACCTATCCCTTGTCTTCCTTCCAAAGAAGCCTTAGTTGTCTTTGCACATGTGAGCGTGTGTGTGTGTGTGTGTGTGTGTGTGTGTGTGTGTGTGTGTGGGTGTGTGTGTGTGTGTGTGTGTGTGTGTGTGTGTGTGTGTGTGTAGGGGTAGAGTAGCCAGATATGGTGAGGAATGTTGCACTACCGCTAGAAGGAAAGGATGGTGTGGTGACATTACATCTACAGATATGAAGAAAGTCTTTGATTGGGCCTTGACCTCCCTCCTCTGCAGGGGCTTCTCCCACTGCCCCACTGAAGAGCTGTGATCTGGGGGGACAGGAGGCCGGGGCTCTGCCACTCAAACCTAGGGCAAGTCACCTGACCTCCCTGTGTCTGTTTTCCATCTATCCCAAGGAGACAGCAGTACCTGCCTTCTGTCTGCCGGGGGTCTTTGGGCTTCACATGGGATGGGGCCTGGGGAGGTAACAAGTGGATTCAGATGTAGGATATCTCCAGTGTTTCTGTTATTTTCTTGCCTTCTTGCATCAGCACTGGGATAGCTCAGGTGGCCCTGGGCTCTGAGTGTGCCCCATTAAAGAAGCTCACTGCACCAGACGAGGCGGGCAGACATGCTGGGGCTGGGCTGGAGGGAGTGGGAGGGAGGAGGCAGAGAGCCCAGGCTGCGGATGTACCTTGTGGGTCAGGATCAGGGGACCGTAGTCTCTCTTCCCAACTCTTTGGGGAGTGTTGATGCAGAAGCCTAAGAATCACAAAGGGAGAAAGAACCTTTAGAAATAGGCATGGAAGGGAACTATATTCAATATCCTGCGTTAAACCATAATGGAAAAGAATATGAAAGAGTATACATATATGTGTAACTGAGTCACTCTGCTGC